ACGCATAGACTTATTTGCTCTGGTTATAAATAATTTTTCTAATATTTATTTGTCGATAATTCAGTTTACTGAAAACTAGCTATTTTTTGAATAGATATTTCGCCTCTGGCAAAAACACTTCAACAATCCGTATTTATTTTCATAGATGGGATTAATAGTAATATGTTTATGTAATGCAACTAGCACAACATACTTAGAATTATGGGCCAAAATTGAATGATTGTCATTTTTAATATCAGTGAATCAGCCATATAAATTTAGAAATACATCTTCCCACTTCAAAATCCTCAGTAAAACTTCTTACTGCTTAATCCCCCATGAATAAAAATATTTTTTGGCTGACTAACTACCGATTCACTTGTACTAAAGTTTTTTTACTATGAGCATCTATTGCCTGATCAATAACCAAAACTATCAATAACTTTTTTTACTGTCGGTGATCATTTAATTCATTAGGTGATTATATTGCAATCATCTTAGTGTCTTTTATCCTTCGTTAATTTATCTAATACTTTAAGGCTTAGATCAAGTTAAATTATGCAGTACATTTCTAGATATGAATTTATTATTCACTCTACTTTAAAGTGACAGTCTGTTGATAATAACTAGGATGGTATTAAAAGGTCTCTTATCAAAATTCTAAACTTAAAGTACACATCTGGCTAAGTAAATTTATAAGGAAATCAGTTCATACTGTTTATAATATTTTATTAGTTATTTCTAAATGGTGACTAAGAGATGTATATCTATGGCGTTACCTCTATTGTTTAGAACACTATATCCTCATGAATGTATTTCCACAATAGTACATATTAATATTCTCATTATCACTATTGGTTAATTCATTATAATGTTTCAATATAATAAATTGATGTTTATCGTTTTATATCTACCTATGATACTAGGTAGTTAAAAGCAAACTAAGCACTTTTCTCAAGTAGTCGTCTATGTATGCATATATACACACACACGCCAATAATTATTTGTAAACGTTTACTGAACTCTTCTTTCTCTACCCAATGTTTACTTCAGTACACATCTTGATAAGTAAACACTTACATTTAACCATCATTCTGTTACTTTATTAGTTAGTTAGAATGAAAATAAAACATTTTATATCCTGGATAAAGATAATATAGTAATTGCAATTATGAAGATTCTTAAATAGGTATGTAATCTAAAACAAAACATTAGTGAAAAAAATTATGTATCAACTACGAAAACAAAGTGATAGGTAATAATTGAAAGAAAAAAGTATCTAAATGTAATAGATAGAATTTCAAAAATGTATGGATATTATCATATCATAAACTAACTGATAAATGAATTATATCAATTTCATCATATCTGTGAAGTGTCTGTTCATGAAATAACGTTTATTACATTTTTAATTCATGGATATTTAGTTTGTGATTACATCACAGTCTTAGAGGAGGTCAGTCGCGGCCCGGATAGCTCAGTGGTAACGTCTCAGACTTTAAAGCTGGGTGACACGGGATCGAATTCGCCAGGGAGCACCAGTTCCCTCAAGATTACAGGTACACCTTGCTGATGAGTACTAAGTAGCACGAAACCCGGGTCCAGGGTTTCCTGTCGACTACCTCCAACCACCATCTAATCTCAGTACTGAGTTTGTGTCTCAATATAAATATCATCACTGTGATGCATGTACATTCAGTTAACATGTCTTAAATAGAATGAAACTTGCAAGTTGAATTCTATGATTCATTTGAAAATTCATAAATGAATAATATAATGTCCATATATGGTTAAAATCGATATTGCCATCAGTGTCATTCTTTCTCATAGTTGGTATATAATTATAGATAGAAGGTAAAACTACTTTGCAGTGAACCGATACTCATACTGTAGCAATGTCATACGAGTCAACTGTCTAGTTTCCTACTTTAATATAATATTTTACATCATATTTATATGTATGTTAATATAGAGTATTATGGAAATTTGTTTATACACCATACAAAATAAAATCAATGAAAATTAACGGTGAAACCTTGAGATAAATCAATCAATCAAAAATAGCTAACCAAAATGCAGATTTCATGTAAGAGTACTCAAAGCAATATTATTACTGAAGGTTAGGAGTTTTAGAACCGTTCATAAACTTATTAGAGCTAAATATCAATAACTTAGGCTAGAGATTACAGTTTTGTAATAAGAATAAACCATAACGCTCAGTTCTACATCTTTTAAAACTGATCTCCTAACCCTAAAATGTCTTAACCATAACTCCTGACCTTAATACTCCTAAACACTAGCTCCTAATCTTAATGATTCTAACTTTACCACTCCTTAACCCTAGCTTCTAAACTTAAAACTATATAAACCTAGATCATCACCTTAAAACTCCCAAACCATTACCCCTAAACTTGATACTCTTAACCTTATCACCTCCAACCCTAACATATTAACATTTACAACTCACTCCACGGGAAAACCATCATTCGAACCTTTCGAAGTACAAGATATAATAAAAAACATGAGTATCAGCAGCAAGCTATTGCAACAGCTTTTTAGATTCACTCATTGAATCGGATGGGAAGAACGAGTGATTCGAACATTTTAAAGGTGTACTGCACAAACCCTCGTAATCTTAAAAATGAAACATCCAAGCTAGGTTTGATGGCGGATGAATTAAGTCCAGATATAATTGTTGTCATAGAAACCTAGCTCGTCTTAGATTTAGACTGTTCTCCAATCGTTGCATAATACATCTGTATTAAAAGTGATGGAGCCACTGTTGAACCTTGTCTCTACACACCACCGTGATGAATTCACCGGTATCTCTTCTCACTAGAAAAAATTTATTAAGTCATACTGTACTTTAGGTTTCGGACATTACAATATGTACCTGCTCAAAGCCGTCACAATATCTGTAGTGCTAACATTACGGCAGTCAGAGGTTGTGCTACCTCAAAAGATTAGTCAGTCGATACACAAGGTTTAGTTGAAGATGAACGGAATACGTTCCAAGTCATATTCGAACCCGAAGCATTAATATCCATCCCATGATCAATACGAAAGCCACCACATTGCCCTCTATGGATCGATAAGGAAAGCCGAAAGCTGCCGAGGTATGGGAATCGCTTCTGAAACTTGTTCTTGTCAGCAGGTCATGAATCATGTAAGCGTGAGTACTGAAAAATCTTGTACATATGTTAAAAGACCATAGCTAGATGCCACACTACTTACGAAAAAAAAACTGGCATAAGACAGCTGTATTTTCAGAAAACAATTGTTTTCGTACATTAAATGAAGAACAAGACGTACTGATGGAATTTCTTCATTGTTGTTGCACAAAAATTGCATTGCTAACAACAATTCTCATAACCACATCACTGAGATAGCAGCTGTGGGATCTATACATGTAAGTGAGAAAGCTGTTTTTTAATTGCTCGATAACCTCATATCTAGTAAGCCACCGGGTCCTAACAGGCTACACTGACGATTGCAGTCACCTCTCGCGGTCATTATTTCAAAACCAGCCACAATACTGTTCAACATGTCGCTTTCCCAAACTCAACTCCCTAGGGATTGGAAAGATGCTGTAGTCAGCTGTATATTTAAGCATGGCAAGAGACGGATCGTGCATAACTACCGACCTACTGGTATAACCAACATAATAATTAAGTTACTTGAAAATAAAATTCGGGCAATGTGGAATCATAAACCCGTTAATTCCTGAGAAACATGGGTTTTGGGATGAGCATTCATGCTTAAATAGCTTAATAATTGCAAAAGAGAACCGGAAATCAGCCCGAGACAATGGCTTATCTATTGGTGTGATATTCGTCGATTTTAACAAAGCTTTTGATAAGGTTTCTCACTGAGGGTTTGTGAAAAAACTTGCGATTTTAAATAACAGGCTCCGTACAAGAGTGGATCAGAGACTTATTGAGTGGCCAAAGATAGAGGGTGACGATCAACGGAATACTATCTGAATGGAAGATGGTCATAAGTTATGTACCCCAAAATAAGGAGCTTGCCCATGTTTTATTAAGAACACTGACACACTCTGGCATGTTTACTGTTTAGGAAACAAGCTAGTGATGGATCTCTTTAAACTCCCTTACGAAGATTACTGAAAACTCTCAAACTGTTAGGATAGTCGGAAAATATACCAATAATTATTGTGTTAAGTCTACGGTGGCCTTGGACCTTAAATGTACATTTCTTATTGGTCGATGTTTACTTCACTTATTAAATATTTTGTAAATGTTGTTCTCTATTTTATGGTACGATGTGGTATGCTTGATTGGTATATAAACAAAGTATGTTTGAAATATAATGATTCATAACCCAGAGGCTGTGACTTGCGTTCTTGACACAACTGGGTAGGACAGACAGCGAAGCAGGGCCAATCAGGGCACTAGGTCGTCCATTACGTGTATTACGTGTCACTGTCACAGATCGCGATCGATAAATAGACGCTGCGTATCCAAACCCTGCAGTCACACGCCGCGTTACAACACAAACCCTTGCTCCCTATCTTATTGTAGGACGTGAGGTGACCTCACAATGGCATTCCATACATTTGTAATAAGGAATCGGGTGTTAACACTTCTTATCTGTTTCTTTTCTTTAGAACTAATTATCTTTGAGACCACATTAAGAAGGTTCGGAATCTATGATTTAACAGACTTAGAGTAGGGTTCTGTTTTTCTCATCGAGTGGTAAATGTCTTGAACGCCTTACCCAAACAATTGGTAACAGCTCCATCTGTGGACATTTTCAAAGAGAAACTGGATCCTCACTGGAAAACAAGCTGCAAGGATTAATATAGATCCTTCGACCTATTATCGCTATTACTGAAAACTGAGGAGTTTGGGTTTGAATTAATGAGTTGCCGACTCCTCAATAGCGCATAGGTTTGTAGTGGCTGTGCTTCGATAATTAATCACCCTCGAACCGTTATCGTATAATCTTCAGCGATGTTTGAAATCAGAAGGCAAAAAGAAGCAGCTACTACAGTTTATTTAGTAGATAATTCGGACCAGACAGCAGAGAGGCAAAATGAATGAGCAAGCGAACTACGATTGTAGCAGTAGCAAGTAGTTGTAGTAGTAGTAGTAGGTGCAAATGTACACATATATATATATATAGGAAAATGGATGAGTCAGCGAATAGACTAAGCAGTTAATAATGAAGCTAGCAGAATGAATACATGCGTAGGCGCTAAACAATGTTCAAGCATATGTATTTCATACAGGCATAATAATAAAGACAGTACAACAAGTTGTTATATCATGGATGACTTTGTCCATTAAATAGGTCAACAAAAGACTTTGACTGAGCTAAACTCGATTACACGTGAGTCACTATAATAGCTCCCCCCTGCAAACAAAGATATATGGAAAAATGTCTGTGTTTGCACAAAAAATTACTAAACTGAGTAAGGTAGTTACAATCGTTTGAAAAAAAATAGTTTGTACAAAATTAAGATGAAGTTGGTGTGTGCTGTGCATTTGGTTTGCGCCTGTCCGTGAGGTTATAAAAAATAATAGCAATAAATAGAAGGAATGCGGTATTGCTTTACATTTTAAATAAAAATTATACGTTTAAGTGTAGGGGTACATAAGATATGTTGAGTTTTATAGCGTAAAACATGAAATTAGTAATGCATGTGTGTACAATGAAGTGGAAGTTATAATTAATATTTAAAATAGTAGAAGATTATTAATAGAAGATTGCAGCGACATAACGTTGGGGCCATCTTACTCTTCGACCAGACCTTGTCGTTACTGGATTCTCTTTGTTTGTGTTCGTCGATGTCGTTGATGATTGGAACTGAAGTTTCGATGATTCAACGGTTTTCGCAGTATCTGTATGTACTGACTGATCGTAGGCTTCGATGAAAGCTGGTTTGACTCGGTCGATGCTAATTACATCCGTTTTTCCAGCTTTGTCTACCGTAATAGTTTTGTCGTCTCTTTTAATCACCTTAAATGGACCATCGTAGGCCGGTTGTAAGGGACGTTGCACATTATCCCTTCTTATAAACACATGGGTACTGTCACTTAGTTGTTTGGGTATGTACACACGGCGTTGATGTTGTCTCGGAAGCGTTATCCTTAGACTACTCATATGCTGCTTAAGACGCTGTACATAGTCCGCTATATCAGTTGGGACGCTTTTACTTGCGGTGAAAAACTCTCCTGGCAGACGTAGTGTGGTTCCATAAACCAACTCTGCTGGGCAGCATTCTATATCTTGTTTGATTGTTGATCTTAAGCTCAACATGACTAACGGTAGCTTGCTGGCCCAATCGTTATTGCTGATGACAGCTGTAAGTGAAGCTTTAAGTTGCCGATGCAATCTCTCTACCATACCATTCGACATCGGATGGTAGGATGTTGTGCGAATTCGTTTGATTCCGAGTAGTTCTGTGAGTTGTTGGAAGAGGCGGCTCTCGAATTGAGCTCCTCTATCGGTTGTAATATTAGTAGGTACACCATAATGGGAAATCCAATGCTCTACTAGGGTTTTTGCGATAGTTTCGGCTGTAATATCTTTTATGGGCACAGCTACAGGCCATCGTGTGAATCTATCAATGCAAGTAAAAATGTAACTGAAACCATTCGAAACCGGCAGTGGTCCTATAATATCGATATGTACGTGCTCGAATCTGTTATCGGGATGACGGAAATGACCTACTGCGGAACTGGTGTGGCGATGTATCTTAACTCTCTGGCATTTTATACACGCTTGCGTCCAATTACGAATATCCCGATTCATACTTGGCCATACAAAACGTTCGCTGATTAGTTTGATGGTGGCCTTTATTCCGGGATGCGAAATATTGTGCATGGCTTCGAAAATGTTTCGCCTTAGCGGCTTTGGAATAAATGGTCTTGGTTGACCTGTAGAAATATCGCAGGTGATGCTTACTTCTTCCAATGGAGTTTCTTTGAGAACTAATGAGGTTGTGTTGGCAGACTTTAGTCTGTTTAACTCGACGTCGATATTTTGTAATGCTGCCAACTTGTGATAATCGATTTCAGACTGAATGAGAGCGTTAACCATCGTTCTGGATAATGCGTCTGCTACTTCGTTACTATTGCCTTTGATATACTGTATGTTAGACGTGAATTGGGAAATAAATTCTAATTGTCGGATTTCCCTCGGCGAGTAGTTGTCCTGTTTGGCGTTCAATGCTTTTGTGAGGGGTTTATGGTCTGTATATACTGTGAAAATGGTACCCTCAATCATATGTCGGAAATGTTTTATTGCCAAGTAAATTGCTAGGAGTTCTCTTCCGAAAGTACTATATCTTGTTTGTGTCGGATTCAGTCTTTTCGAAAAAAATGAGAGCGGTTCCCATATGCCATTTACTAATTGTTGTAAAACGGCTCCTACCGCTACGTCTGATGCATCCGTCATGATAGCTAACGGTGCTTCGCTCTTTCGTCTAGTTAGTGTCACTTCTTTATTTAGTGCTTTTTTAGCGTTCTCGAATGCTTGAATCGCGTCTGGTGATAATTGGAATGTCCGTGCGTTTCCGCGTAATGCATCTGTTAGTGGTTGCAATATTGACGCGCAATTCGGGATAAATCGTCTGTAATAATTTATTAATCCGAGAAATCGGCGTAACTTTTTCCATGAGTCGGGTAGGGGATAATTCCTAATGGCGTCGACTTCTGTTGCTATTGGTGTGATACCTTGAGAAGTTATATTGTGACCTAGGAACTGTAAAGATTCTTTTCCGAATTCACATTTCTCAATATTTATAGAAATACCATGTTCTCTGAGTCGCATAAATAATTGCCGTAGTTGTTGTATATGCTCATCTTTAATGGTGCTAGCTACTAATAAATCGTCAATATACGCGTATACCCCAGGTAAACCTCTAATGACCTGGTCGATAAACCGTTGAAAGGTTTGTGCCGCGTTAGTCAGTCCAAAAGGCATACGCAGGAATTCATATAGCCCAAATGGGGTTGTTACTGCTGTCTTCGGTATGTCTTGTGGGGCAACAGGGATGTGGTAGTATGCTCTGACTAAGTCGATCTTTGAGAAGATAGTAGTGCCCTCAATACTGTAGGTGAAATCATGAATGTGCGGTATAGGGTATCTGTCAGCTACTGTTTGTTTGTTCAGTGCTCTGTAATCTCCACATGGCCTAACCTCTCCATTCTTTTTCGGGGCCATATGTAGCGGGGATGCCCACGGGCTGCTCGATGGCCTTATAATGCCTAGCCTCATTAGCTTGTCGAATTCCTGTTTTGCGATGGCTAGTCTTTTGGGATCTAGCCTTCTTGGTCTTGCATTTATTGGTGGACCATTCGTTACAATGTGATGCTGAATAGAATGTTTGAGATCCGCTTTATTGTATGTTACGTTTACGAGTTCAGGGAATTCCCTTAACAACAATTTATATGGATCACCACGACTTTTATCTATCACAAGGTTCATTGAAACGGCTTCCGTAAGTATTCCTCTTATCGAAGTGGTTTGACTGCCGTTTATAAGTATGTGTCGTCTAGAGTCTACTAGCAGGTCAAAGTTACATAAGAAATCTATGCCTATTATGGGCATCGATACGTCTGCTATGACAAAGTTCCAGCGGTATGAAGCACCACGTCCAAAATCTAGGGACAATTTCCGTTTGCCATATGTCTTAATATCTGATTTGTTTGCTGCTCTTAGCACTAATGACGGATTAATGTTTTTTCTTTCCTCGTTAAATGGAGGTACTACGCTAATTTCCGCTCCAGTGTCAACTAAGAATTGTGCGCCAGTGGTTCGGTCTTGTATATAAAAGAGGCGACTATTTTCAGGCATAATGTGTGTTGATGCCGTTGCCATTGATACTCGTGAGTATCGGTTACTAGCCCTGTTAAATCTACAAGGTTGTAGGCACTTTCTAGCCCTGTAGCCGAACATTTGATGATACCAACATATCGCGGGAGTTGTGCGTCGTCTAGAAGTTGACCGGGTCCTTTCACGCGAGCGATCTCGCGATGACCTTCGTGGCTTTTCTCTCTGCGTTAATTCTGTGAGTTTGCGGCATAAAACATTTATTTCCTTCTCTAGAGTATCAAGTCTATCGTCTACCGTCACGTTGTGTAGTGGAGGGCTCGCTTGCTTGCTTCTTTCGTATATTCTATCGGCTATCTTTGCTATATTGTCTAAATCAGCATCCGTATCTCCCACCGCTAGGATCTGCTGTATTTTTGCCGGGAGTCGGCGGAGCCACAGCTGATAAAAGAGATTATTGTCAATGTGTCTATCGCCAAGTAGACTTTTCATATAATTTTTTAGTTGTGATGGGGTTCTATCTCCAATTTGTACTTGGTTAAGAAGTTGTTCGACGGCTTGTTGGTCACTGAGAGAGAGAGCTTTAATTACTGCCTCTTTTAGCACGTCGTATGGTTTTTCTGTGTCTGGTTTTGCTAGTGCCTCTCGAACGCTGTCAGCTACTTCGTCTGGGAGTAGTGTGCTTGTCAGGCCGAACTTATCCTTTTGCAAAAGAATGCGGTTAGCGAGAAAATAATTTTCAAGTCTTATAAACCAAAGTTTTGGGTCTGTGATTTTAAAAGAAGGGGCAGGGAGGTTAAGAGACCTCACGGACGAGGCTTGCTGTACGCTTGAAACTGTGTTTTCATAAGACATGCTTATAAAAATTAGGTAGCACACGAAAATAACTTAACAGTCACAAGGAAGAATAGATGGGCAAAAACAATGATAATAAAAAAATGGCACAATTTATAACACGGAACAGACTTACTAAATTGCACCAATATATCAATTGTTTATGGATAATTGTTATTTATTATGATTATAATTGTCACGTTTAATAATGTTTGCGAAATAATGTAAGTGTAATTAGAATAATAATATAAATCCACAGTTGTAATTATAGTTCATTTGATAATCCAAATTGAGATGAAAAGAATCGGATTTTTGGGATTTGATTATTTCACCAAAATTTGCTTCCGTTCTCACGTCGGGATTACCAATTCTGTAGTGGCTGTGCTTCGATAATTAATCACCCTCGAACCGTTATCGTATAATCTTCAGCGATGTTTGAAATCAGAAGGCAAAAAGAAGCAGCTACTACAGTTTATTTAGTAGATAATTCGGACCAGACAGCAGAGAGGCAAAATGAATGAGCAAGCGAACTACGATTGTAGCAGTAGCAAGTAGTTGTAGTAGTAGTAGTAGGTGCAAATGTACACATATATATATATAGGAAAATGGATGAGTCAGCGAATAGACTAAGCAGTTAATAATGAAGCTAGCAGAATGAATACATGCGTAGGCGCTAAACAATGTTCAAGCATATGTATTTCATACAGGCATAATAATAAAGACAGTACAACAAGTTGTTATATCATGGATGACTTTGTCCATTAAATAGGTCAACAAAAGACTTTGACTGAGCTAAACTCGATTACACGTGAGTCACTATAGGTTTTTGACTAGACCTCACTATACTGTGAAGACGATTCCTTAGAAGTAACGTACCTAGAGTTGATGTGTTTCTCTTGAATTGGACTACTGATCGGCTTACATTCTCTTTTTAAAAACCATCCTCAGTGTTCTGAAATATGTTTAGAAAGTTATCTTCACCCCCTAACAATTTTTTACGATTATCATTCAGTTGTGGTATAACCTCTGCGTATTTCATTTTTTCTTCATATCTGTTAAGTAGACAAATATTTGACATATTTTTGACCGGTAAATTATCCTCAGTCCTCCCCATTACGACCATTACGTAACATTCTTTTGATATTTGAAATCTTAGGTTTAATCTCTATCTACTTTCTATAGACACATATTTATACAACGAATTTACGGCTTAGGTAAATGACTGATTCGAAAATAAAATTTTATTCATTAAATTCTCTTTATTTCTTATTCAGGTCCAACCTTATTTTACCTGGTCTAACAAATTCCATATAGTGAGTTAACTAGTGTTAAATATCATAACATTTTTTCTTATCAATGATTTTAAGCAGGGGAAAAACAAAACAAGTAGTAGAATAATGTAAATTTATTTCTTTAATTCTTTCCAGCTGCTTACATTTTGAAAAGAAAGTAGTAATAATTATTTTGAGATTAAACGACATACATACTTCACATTATGGCATTGAATAAGTTCTCACCAATGAAGAATCATAAAAGAAGCAAGAAGAATAGATACATAACAAAACATATTCATGTGATTAAATATTTATATGTTAAAGAACATGAAAACTGTAGAAGAAAATTTGAAAAAAATATGGATGAAAACAAGTTACTGAAATAACTTTCAAAGCTAGCAAGTGAACTATCAGGAACAATAAGTAACTAATTGTGAGATTAAAATGAGTGAAGTTCAAATAAAGTGTAAGAAAGGTTGAAGAAAGTAAATTTAGAATTCCGAACAAAGAATTAGCTTCAGAAGGAGTTTTGTGGAGATTGTAGTAATTTCAACAGTTGAGATCATGAGTCAATTGAAGCTAGACCATCATGGAAAACCTGGAAGCATTGGATGGCCGTTTCTTCCTATTGTGCAACTCCTCAGCAGCGCGCGTTCACTACTCTGCCTCGCGGGATTCAAACCCAGGAATTAGATACTATGCAACTAACTCTTGGAAGGTGAATTCACCAAGGGAGTGAAAGAATGACATCCTTTTAAATAGAGAATTCTGGTCCAAAATTATTAATAGAAATGACTTCAGTTAACTGTAAGAAGTTCTAATTTGTCTGTTTAGTAATAATTTTAATGACTTTGAAGTGTTAACATCTTGTCCATTACTAAGTGGATGTTAGAAGACTAGGCTGTTGATAACATTTTGATCTCTTGACCTTAGTTTCTGATGTATATGATGAGAGATGAGAATAATGACTCACCTTTCAGGTCTTACCATGCATGCGCTTTTGTATATACAGTGCGACAGTTTTGGAGGCTGTATCAACTCATTTCAATGTAGATCTAATTTGGGAATTAATCGTCTAAGCTGTTTTATCATCTTTAAAAACAAGTTATCTGGAAGTCTTTCTCTGCCATATCACTTTCCATTCCCTTCGTTCTTTACTTTCCATATTTATTGATGAACATTTTCGGATAAACATTATCTATTAGAGAAGTCTAAACAATGTATTATTAGCCTTAAATTTTGTCCCGTGAATGTGATTTCTCCAATCGTTTATAGCTAACCGGGAATAAGCAAATGATATTCACTCTAAGTCTTCCAAAGAATTAATCCTTAAATTCAACCCTTTTAATAATGTTGAATAACATAACATATTGTCATGTTCAGGTTCCATAGTAAATCGTATTG